GTGGCGGCGGCCCGGGCCCCGGTCCCAGCCCAGGCGGCCCAGCCAACGGGCGCCACTACGGGATTAAGCCTGAAACCGGAGCGGCCCCGGCTCCTGCCGCCGCAGCCTCCACCACCACCACCTCCTCCTCCTCCTCGTCCTCCTCCACCTCCAAACGGACTGAGTGCTCCGCGGCCCGCGAGTCCCCGGGGAGCGGCGGCGCCGAGTTCCCGTGCAACTCGTTCCTGCGGGACAAGGCGGCGGCGGCGGCGGGACCGGGGCTCGGGGCAGGGCTCGGGGCTGGGCCTGGGGTGGGAGGCTCAGCCGAGCCCTCGGCTTGCAACGATCACCCAAGCCCCGGCTGCCCGCTGAAGGAGGAGGAGAAGCAGCAGCAGCAGCATCCGCAGCCGCCGCCGCAGCAACTTGACCCAAGTAAGTGCAAAAGAAATTGCCCCCTGATTTATTGCTGAAACCTGTAAGGCTCGAATGTGCAAAACTGATAGTTTTACTAACCTATAAAAACGTCTAGACGCCTACCCAAGCCTAGGCGAGCAACATGCATCCATAAAAAAGCTTCCCATAACCACCTACCCTGGGCGCGCGGTTTGTACGGTAAACAGAGCGCGGGCATTAAGGCTTTTTATGATAATTCCCCCCAAGTTGTGAAACGCGGCCATCCTTGGTGAAATTAATTTAACGACCTCTCTTCCCCACCCTGTCGTCTCTCTCTCTCTCTCTCTCTCTCGTCTGCCTCCCCTCCGCCCCTCGCTCCCCTTCTGCAAACCCCCCTCTCCGTAGACAACCCCGCCGCGAACTGGATCCATGCTCGGTCCACCCGGAAAAAGCGCTGTCCCTACACCAAATACCAGACGCTAGAGCTGGAGAAGGAATTCCTCTTCAACATGTACCTCACCCGGGACCGGCGCTACGAGGTGGCCAGGATTCTGAACCTCACAGAGAGACAGGTCAAAATCTGGTTCCAGAACCGTAGGATGAAAATGAAAAAGATGAGCAAGGAGAAATGCTCCAAAGGAGACTGACCCGGCGGCACCGGCTCGAGCGCCCTGGGGCAGCAAGGGGTTTTTTGTTGTTGTTGTTGTTTTGTGGGTTCTTAATTTCCAGAAACTCCAGCGACTCAAGACTCCCTCCCCTCCCTTTTTTTTAGATAGAAGTGACTGTGTGGTTGGTCTCTGTGAGTTAATTGGGGGAACTGTGTTTGCTCTCTTATGTGTTGGAGAAACCAAGTAGCTTTGGAGTTTCGCTCTATCCCGCTCCCTCCCTTTCCTGCTCCTTGGTTCCTTAGAAAATGCAATATTTTGTGACTGCACGCTGGCTTGAGGAACCCCTCCCCCGTGTAAATATCCCTCATGTTTCTGGAAAGTGCTGTAGTCTAGTTCCCTCCCCCAGCGCTTTCCAAACAGGGCCTTGTGGGCCCCAATTCGGAGAATCTGAAGGCTGAGCGAGAAACTGTGTACACTCCTGCTGCTTGCCCAGGCCTGGGTCTGGGTCACCTACCGGTTGGAAATCCCCCTTTCCTCAGGGAGCCGGCAGGCCCTCGTCCCAGACCTTGAGTGAGGCCTAAAGCATCCCAGGGACTTGGGTGGGTGGAGGGGTTTATTCGCAGTGTGTAGGGGCGTCTGCTCTCTCCCGGGAAGGCTGCCTCGGGTGGTGGCCCTCTCCATTCCTGCCTGGAAACGGTTGTAAATGTTATCACTTCCTACCAATAAATGCTGATCTGATCAAATGGTGCCCTGACACTGGCCCTGAACGTTGTGTGATTGCTCTATCTCTCTGCAAAGTATCACCCAGACCACACCGATTTCTCCATCCCTGGAAGGGAGACGTGCAGACTTTCAGGGCCCTTCTACCTGGCCGTTCTCTCTGATGTGCCCCTGAGCTTCCCTTTGTGTGTGCAAACCAAAACTGGAGTGCAGCCCCTGGGAGAGGTCTTAGCGCACTCCCCATCCTGGTGCCAGCACCTCGGTGAACTAACTCTCTGCCTCGGGCCACACTTGGCCTTTCGGAGTCGCAGAGTCGGTGGCCCCAGGCAGCAGGCATGCTTGCTAATAAGGCTTTGGCATACCTCACCTCAGCGTGCCACCCTCCGATCGTGGAGACCCAGCAGCTGACCCCAGTCTCCAAACAAGGGAAAGAAAGGCTAACTCGGCCCTCCGGAGCAACTCCCCTAAGTCTCCAGAGCTAGCTGGTTCTGCGAGGTCCCAACCGGTTAGGCTGGGAGCTCCGGCCTCTCCCCACTACAGCTCCAAAGTGACCTTAGCGGATCAAAATGGTCCATCCTCATCCCACCTCCCCTTTCCCTCCACCCAGCTTCTGTGTACGTTTAGCCCCCAGCTCGGCCCTCTGCGGTCTGCCTTCAGAGGCTAAAATGAAGGTCATTGTAAGTGAGGGTTCTGGCCGAGCACAGCCTCTGTAGGCCCTGGAGGAGGCGGCGGCGGCGCCGGGCAGCCTGGGTTGGGCGGAAGGGAGGGGGCGGTGGCAGAGATCTTGGGGCTCCTGATGAAAGAGGGGGCTCGAAGAAAAAGCAGGGGGGGCTGGGAGGGAAAGCCAAGGGCCAGATCCGGCCGAAGGTGCTGTTGTCCCCCCTCCCCTGCAGCCAGCCAGATACCTAGAGCTCTTTGAAAACAGGAAGAGCCAAGGTGTCATAAAGCCATCGGGCTGGCCAGACGTCTGGAGGTAATGAGTTTACGACTGGCCAGGCGCTTTGCTTTGAAACCATCTCATTTTGATGTTGGTGGAAGGAAAGGAAAAATGCAGACAAAACTGGGTCTTAAAGTCTGGACAATAAAATATAAACAAAACTGAGTTGGACCAAGAAGGCTAGGGGCTTAGGAACCTCTGGATGAGATGGGAACACCTACGAAATCCAAATGAGGGAAGGAGATGATGGATTTCTGACTTTAAAAACGAGCTGAGCATCAAAAATAGCTGATGACCAGTGGCTCAATAATATTTTGAATGCAGCCATGGTCTAGCTGATTCCGTGAAAACAAAATAAAACCAGAGAATGACACCACCTTGTTACTTGAGAGAAGGAAGGTTAATGATTTGGGGGGCATTTACTCCACGAAAGAGTCTCCCAGAAGTGTGGTTGGTGGGGAAAAATGAATGACTTTTCTCAAAAACGTTGAGCCCTCCACTCCAAACTGCATAGCTAAAATACTGGCATTTTATCTGTTCACTTATTGCAGATATAATCATTATACCTAGATTGGTGGAAAGCATTTCTGAAAGACAAGAAAAGATTAACCTAGCAGCAAACACCTAAACTGATTTAGTAGCCATTGCTTTTAAGAAAAATTCACATGGACTGCTTAGTCAGTTCTGTGCATTATGCGACTTTTGAGGTAAAACAATTAAATCCCATTTATTATTCACAAAAATTCAAACAAACATAATTCCAGGGACTTTCCAGACAGCCATGCAGAGATCCAGCAAACGGCCTTTAATTTGACTCAACCTCTCTCCATCCCCACTGCCCAGCTTTGTGAGCGTAAAATACTACCGTTAGAAAGTTAAACAAGTATTCTTTGACTCATGCTAAAAAGCACAACTTTAAAAGAAAAATAACAATTGACTTCTATAATTTCTATAGTGTCTTAGTCATCAGTGGCTCATTTGAAGAAGAAAAAAAGCCTCTCTGCAATCAGCATTTATAAAAGTTGTGATTTTCGTTAAATGTAAACTGTCCAACAATTGTGCTTTAAAATCACATCTGGAGGACTACAGAAGTGGAACCTGCCTTGTCTGGCAATAGGAAGGCTTGTAGTCTTTAGGCTTGGGAGCACAAATGAGAATATCCTTGATATGCAGGAGCCTCTGCTTGCTGCACTTGACTTGTTGACAATCCAAGAGATGAAGCTTTATTAGTGTCAGCAGTCCAAGCCTTGTTCTCAAAGAACAAGATTAGAATTGGTTTGAGGCTCATAAAAAGGAAGTTAAATTCGGCCGCTTGAGTTGGCATTTTGTCACTAGAGGGCGCTATTGCTCCACTTTCTGAGCTCGTAAAGCTAGCGTTACCGTGGAATAAGGATTTGATTAAAAATATTTACAATCTTATTTTAATCCCAAATTAGGATGAATTTAACAAAAATAAACAATGTGAACTATTAAATTATCCAGCCGTGTTTGTTGGCCATAACATTTTGGCGCAGTCAGGATTTCCGAAAAATCTGGACTATGGCGCAGCTGAAACTATAAAATGTTATGGTAAATTAATGCATTCTATCGAAACAGAAACGTGTAAAAGCATAGACATTTATTTACTAAGTTAGTCACACTCTTTCTGTTGATTATAAACAGAATGCTTAATTTTTTTTAAAAAGGAATTTGTCCCAAGAGGAAATACATGCAATGTTTTCTAAATTAGGACTGAATGTGCAGAATACATTTTGTTGTGTTCATGTCTGCCTCATACAACTCTTAAAAGGTGTTATTGATATCTAGGCTTTCTGTCTCCCTCCCACACTTCCAAATCTATTCATTTATCGGTGGTTCAAACATGTGCAGGTGTGCCCACGCCCAACCCACACCTACCAGTGGAATAAAAAGGCACAGCTACAAAGTTCATGCTAAGGCTTTATTGAAAATGACTTCTTAAAAATTACATATTATCTTTAAGTAGTTGTACAAAGGAGTTGCTATTTAATAAATCAGTTATAAATACAATGCATCTTGCACGTCATCTCTTTCATCCTTCTCCCCAAAATAATTTTATCTTGTTTGCAAAACTGAATTATAAATAAATCTTCAACTGTCAGAATCCATTGTTCCCCTTCAAACTTAAAGCTACCTAATAATAATAGGCGGGGCAGGGGGGAGAACCAAACTTGCCTTTCATTCACCCCAGTAACAATTTCAATAAAATATCTCCGATTCATCAACAATCTGTTTACCTTCACCATTTTTCCAGGCATCCCTGTAGAAATATTTGAGCCAGACATTATCGTTATGGATTTCCTTGTCGACTTTATTTTATCCATTTATAAAAAGAATGCTCAGCCCACTTTGATCCACCTCGGATCACCGCTCACCCAGGCTGAGATCGGATAGTAACTGAAACCTCGGGCCTGCAGCGTCTTGAGGCCAGTCTGGGGCTTTAGACGTTTGCATTTGTCCTGGAAAGTAGGGATGGTGTGTCTGAGCTGAAGCAGGAGCGTCCTCGGTGGGCTGGCGCGTGTCCTGAGGCCCGTGGGACCGGGGCCCTCAGGACCTGGGTTACTCCGTAGGAAAGGGGGCCCAGCACCCAAAGGCCCCACGAAAAGGCAGACAGACAGACAGACAGACGGACACACACAGACAGCAGAGACCCATCATATTTATTAAACATTAAAACGGGAAACGAGCAAAAGAAAAAAAAAGAAGTGTGTGGGGAGGTGGTTGGTGGTGTAAAGCCACAAGTCGCGTTGGAAAGAGCTGCTATGCTACAGCCAGTCACTCGGTGTCCATTCACACTCGACTTGCCCACAGGACTCTGTGGCTATGTCTCCTCCTCACCGCTCACAAACTAGGCTGAGTCTCCGATTTCTTTGGGGGAAATTAGTAACTTAAGGCTGAGGCCTGCACCGACTCTCCACAGCTATTTCGCAGGCTTGACGGACCAACTAGAATCCTTAGCAGAAAACGGGGCCCGGTGGCCCCAAGCCGCCTGGCCCGCGGGAGATTGTGGGAGGGGGGAGATCAGGGAGCACACACTCCCTCCCCCCCCCCCCCCCCCATCTGGAGCACCAGCCCGCCCAGGTCAGCTCCGCTCCAGGGCTGGTGCAGTGCCTCACACCCTGCCCCAAGAAATGCCACCCGCCCCAGCACCAGTCCCCCTACCCCGCTGGGAACTTCTCCCACTGCGCACCTATTCACGGCCTGTGCAGTGCCAAGGCTCCCGTCCACATCTCCAGCCTCCCCTCCCCCGCGCCGGCTGACGTCTATCAAGGGTGAAATGATGGAAACTATATTCATGGGCATGATTTCCATTAAATATCAATTAACCCGGGAGCCTCGGCCAGGCATGCCGTGCGTCAAGGGTAAATGTGCGTCTCCACAAGGCCCGCTCAGCTGGAAAAGCGGGACTTTGATTCGCTTTGATAACGCCAGGGTTTGGGGCCACCTTGGTAGCCTTTCATCAAACCACCTAAATGGGCCTGGTCCGGTCGGGCAACCTCGCCGGGCCATATTCCCCGCGTGTTGGGAAATGCAAAAGCCATGCCTAATTTCTGAGGGGGTAGCTCCCAGGAGCTTGGAAAGAGAGTCAGCTACTCGGCAGCCTCCCTGAGAGTGACCTTCCAGCTTCCCCCAAGTGTAAGGTTCGGCCGCGCCCCCTCTCTGCGGGCTGCAGTCGGCATTCCCCGCCCGGGGCACGGGCTAGCCCTTGGCAGTGCGGCTTTATGGGCCCCCTTTAAGGCCGGCGGAGGCATCTCTGGGCGGCGTGAAGCGTCCCGTCGGAGCCGCGCCTCCTCGCCGCCGCGTGGATCCCTCCGCGCGGTTATCTCGCCCCCATCTCGCTCCCGCTCCGCGCAGTGGCGGGGTGCGAAAATGCCTCGCCGGCGCGCACCGGGGCGGCAGCCTCGGCGGCGGCGGCGGCCGCGGTGGGAGGGGGCGGAGGGGGAGGTGAGGTGAGAGGTGGCACCGGGCCGGGGCTGTGTGGTTGTGTTTTTCGTTTCCCTCCAGAGCGGAGGTTTGTACACCGAAGCCAGAGTATCCCCGGGGGCCGGGCCACTTGTTTTTCTTTTCTTTCCCCCCCTCTTGTCCCGGTGCGCGAGCACGGCCTGGTGCCTGGAAGAAGCCGTGGAGGCGGCGGGCCGGGTCACCCGGGGCGTCGGTGATTACACTGCGGCTGAGCCGGCGCGCGCCGGGGAAGGCCGGGAGAGGCCGCGGCGCGCG